ATTTAAAGCCAAATATAATGGCAACATGTCATTGTATCCATAATGCGTGGAGAAGTAAGATGAATGGCCACAGAGCACACAGAATGACCAAATAGCACACACCATATAATCACATAACACAGGAAGAAGCATTATAAGGCTTGCAGGCAGATCAGTAAGAATAACACAGCAGAGGATTGTCGCTAATGAGATAAATGAACTAAAAATATTCCATGCAACAAAGGCATGAAAAAGGAGAAAGTGGCAATGAAGACTACATGAGACACACAGAAAAAAAGTAGCAAGATGCTAAATTGAAACTCAGTCTTATCATGATGGTTATAGCTGTCAACTCAGCTGGACCGACAGACGCCTAGAGAATTGGTCACACATCTCTCTGGGTGTCGGTGAAGGTACGTGTGAGAAGGCTGGCGGGGGGTCCGTGAGATGAATGAGGAGATCAGCCCTGAATGTTGGGAATGCCATCCAATGGTTGAGGGCCTGGATGTAAGGGAACGGCAGGAAAGAGGGAAGCTTGCTCTCTAGTGTACTCAGACCCTTTTCGAGCAAATGTGCTTTTCTGCTACTATCACCCATGATGACATCAGACTCCGGGTTCTTCTGCTCTGAGCACAGACTTGCCCCAGGGTTTTACAGAGGATGTCTAGGCCTTCAGCTCAAATTAAGCCCACATTGTCAGTTTCTTTCTCAGTCTGAGGTTTCCCGCTTCACGGAGGGAGAAGCTACTGCTTTCCCTGGCCATCCAACCTGCAGACAGCTTTTGCGGGATTACTCAGCACCTGATCATGGGAGCCAATCTAATAAATTCCTTTTATATGTATCTTCTGTGGGTTCCCTTTCTCTAGAGAATCTGAACTCATCCACACATCAGCAGTCACATTAAATGTAAATGGCCTAAATATCCTGATTAAAAGGAAATGTGGAGCCAGGTGTAGTGGTGCATGCCTATGATCCCAGCACTTAGGAGGCTGAGGCAGAAAGATTGGCATGAGTTCGAAGTCAACCTGGACTACATGGTGAGTTCAAGACCATCCTGAACTACATAGTGAGACTGTCTCAAAAATCCATAAACAAATAAACAAATAGAAATGTGATTGTCAGACTGGATGGACAAGCGAGACTCAATTATATGCTGCCTGTAAATATAAAGAAACAAATAGATTAAAAGTATGGAAAAAGATATATCATCTAACTAATCAGAGTTAGTACATTAATATTAGAGTAAGTTTCAGAGAAAAGACTGCACAAGTAAAATGAGTACTATTTTGTGATGATAAAAAAGTAGACTCAAAAAAAAACTCATAAGTGTAAATGTTTATGCACAAAATAAGTTTCAAAATGCATAAAGCCAAAACTGACAGAAACACAAGTAGAAATAGACAAATCCATAGTTATAATTGGAGATTTCAACAGCCCTCTCCCCAAGAACTGATAAAACAAGTAGACAGAAAGTTAGGAAGAGTCTAGATGACTAGGAAAGGCTGACTCGCTTCACCTAACTGATATTTGTGAAACACTCCACTAGACAATACCAGAAAACACACTTTCAACCACCCATAGAACACTTACTTTAGATAGACCTTACTCCAGGCCATAAGCAAGTCTTAATGCACTTTGAAACATTTAAGTCATACAAAATATATTTGCTGACTGTAGTGAAATTAAATTATTAATCATTAACAGAAAACCATCTGGAAAGTCTTTAAGCATCTGGAAACAAATATGTTAAAAGTTTTAGCCAATCCATGGGTTAAAACAAAAAATCAAAAGGGAAATTCGAAATTATTTTGAAATGAAGGCAAATGGAAATCAGGTATTAAATACTGGAGGATGTAGGTTGTTACGGTTTAGAGGTTTAGATGTCAGATGTCTCCCAGAAGGCTCAGGTATTCAGAGGCGGGCCCTTTGGAAGGTGACCCAATCATGGAGCACTGTAGCTGACGTAGTTAGGAGGCAGGGCCTGGTTGGAGGCGGGTCTCTGGGGGTGTGGCCTGGAAGGGTGTGGTCTTCCCACAGCTCCTCCCTTCTCCTTGGCTGCCTTGGGGTGAACACCTGTTTTTTCCATCTTCCTCTTCCATCTCAGTTCTGCCTCAAAGTCAGCTGCCCATGAACTGAAATCCAGAACCAAAGTAAACCTCCTCCCTTGAGTTGCAGGTGTTGGGTATTTTGTCCCAGGAAAGTGACTAAGACACAATTTCTCTACTAAACCAGCATTTAGAAGGATGTTTCCATCATTAAGTGCATATATAAGCTAAGGGTCTGAAATAAATAACCTCAGTTTTCACTCTAAGAAAGCAGAAATAAAAAAGAAGAGTAAATCCAAAGTAAGCAGAAGAAAGGAAATAATAAAGATTAGAGTGAATTGCCCGCTGTGGTGGTGTAATCCCAGCATTCAGGAGGCTGAGGCAGGAGGATCGCTGTGAGTTGGAGATCAGCCTGGGCTACAGAGATTCTGTCTCCAAAATAATAATAATAAAATTAATTAATGAAAAAAATAGGGAAAAAATAATGAAGCCAAAAGATGATTGAGAAGATTAACAAAATTAATGAACCTGTCACTAGAGTGGTCAGGATAAGGAGATAAGATACAAATTGCCTAGAAAAGGAATAAGACATGCTCCATCAGTACAGTTTCAACAGCTACTAAAGGGAAAATATTGGGAAACTTACAAACGTCATGCCAATAAGTTTGACAGCTTTTTTTGGGGGCGGTATCGAAATCGGTACTTTGTGCTTGAGAAGCAGGTGGTAGAACCACCAAACTATATCCCCATCCCTGACAGCTTTAATTAAATGAAAAAGTTCTTCATAAGACAGTAGCTATCAAAACTCGCGCAAGCAGAGGAACAGCTTGACTAGCTCTGTTTCTAGCAAAGAAATTGCAGTTTAAAATGCTAAAGGAAGATGCCGTAAGGAAAATGCTAGCCTGGATAATTCACTGAGGAATTCTACCAACATTAAGGAAAAAAATAAAACCAAATCTACAGAAACACTTCGAAAACAACTGAAAAGTGCATGTTTTCCTACTCATTCTATAAAGTTGGCACCACCCCGATACCACAGCCCGATAAAAATATTTTTTGAAAGATTATAGGCCAGGTGCAGTGGAGGGAGGCTGAGGCAGGAGGATTGCTGCTAGTTTGAGGTCAGTCTGGGCTACATAGCGTGAGTTCAAATTCAGCCTGATAAACGTCACGAGACCCTATCTTTAAAAGAATTATAGTTTTGATATCAACAAATATCCCTTAGGAGCATGGAAACCAAATGTATAGGGTCGTAAAGATGGGTAGTGACCAGTGGAGGAGAAGAGGACAGGAAGGAAATACCAGGGGCCCTGGGGAAGCTTTGGGAGATGACAGACACATTGCCGACCTCACAGGCACTGATGGTTTGTCAAGCTGCTGTTGGGAGAGAGCACTGCTCGCCTGCCGTCACAGGGTCCGTGGCCTGGGCAGATGTAACAAGAGGCAGACCAATCAGAGAAAAGCATGCAAATTTATTCGATACAAGGTTTGGGTGACACGGAAGCCTTCAGGGATGAAAATGCTCAGGAATGGAGGAAACTGTATTTTTATAGATAGTCGTGGAGAAGTACAACTGGACAGGAGGGAGTCCGATCTCAGGGTCATTAACTGGGGGAACTTCTTGGCCTGTCTTCCAGGAGAAAACCTTGTTTCTCTCCAGATGAAGTGCGGGCTTCTCTTCCTCCTCCACAGGGTGGTCAGGGAAACCCCTTCGGGCCTGCTTCAAGGAAGGAGGGCCCGGAGCACTTTTCTGCGCCTGCTGTTTCCTTCAGTGGCCGGGGGTCATATCTGGGGGCCATGTGTCCTGAACTCCATCACACATCCCTCAATCCTGACCTGGGGGTTAGCTCAGGAGTACAGGGCATGCATCAGGCCATGGGTTCGATCCTTACCACACCCTTACCAAAAAAACACCTCCTCTAACTATACACTTTGTATATGTAGCGTTAATTATGTCAACTACACCTCACTTAAGCCCTGGGGATGATCAGGATATCACAAACTTTATCCAAGTACATCTGTAAAAGTATGTGATACACATAAATTCTGAGAAACATAAAACTTAAATCAGCACCAAAAGAAATATAGAAGAGTGTTCTCTAAAGAGACACAGTTGGGAAGCTCTGGTCCGAACGGACCTAGAACTGAATCAGAGGGTGCAGGCCTTCCACAGTGAAGACAGTTTGGACAGCTTTCAGGGCACATTCTATTCAAGTTTCAGGTGGTCCCAGCCTCACCCCATCTTCCGCGGGGAAGCACACTGAGGAGGTGAGGATAACCTTGCCCGCCCACCGCAAGCCAGAAGCGGCACCAGAACAGGAAGCTGCCTCGCTCTTGAACCCAGACTCAAAGCTGCACCAAGTGCAAGGAGCCAGTGCTGCCATGAATGAAAGCCACAGCCCTCTCGGCCACCGTCCGCCGTTCACTCCAGGCACGGGAAGTTGGTTTGACTGAAATGTGGGGGCCGTTTATTAATCCTCACAGACGCAGGAAAAGACTCAACAGATCTCAGCCAAAACTACTGGAGAGTGAGGGAAGAAGTAGTTTCTCTCAACCTCATTAGTGACACGTACAGAAACCCCTCGAAAGCGTTGCCAACGGGGAGGAAGGATTGAAACCCGTCCCCTTAGGACCCATGCAGGCAGAGACCCTGGCGAGTGCAGTTTCCAGTGAGTGCTGTTCCAGTCCCACCAGCTCAGGAAGGCAGAAGAAGACAAAGTAACATTATCATTTTTTTAATCCTACTTGCAAATGATGCGATTGTTTACATAGACAACCCAAAAGAATTCAAAGATGTACGCTTAGGGTTAAGAAGAGAATTTATCAGGGTTGCTAGGCACAAGACCAACAGAGAAAAATCCGTATTTCTATGTCCCAGCACCAACAACAGGAAAATGCAAATAACCAAATGCTAAAAGGGCCAGCGCTCACACCGGGTGCCTCCTGTGCAGGTGTGAGCGGCAGCGCCTACCGTACCGTTCTTGTTTGAAGATTCAGTAGGACAAGGAAGCAACGGCTGGCAGGAGCACAGTTACCAGCAAAGGGGCAGAGGCAGGCGGCTCTGGCGCACAGCACAGGGCTCAGTCCTGGGATCCCACGCCCCTTCCTGTGCTCGCCCCCCAGCTCAGCAGAGGCCTCCATTCTGTGCCCCCAACACCACCGTGGCTCCCCCAGGGACGGGGCTCCCAGCCTGGACTGTTTGGGGAGAAGCCCCGTCAGCAGGAGGAAATCTCTGCAAGGTGTTTACTGCTGGGAGGCTGGGGAGCTGGGGTGGCCGCCAGCCAAGCCTGAGTGCTGACTGGCGACTCGGGAAGGAAGAAGGAAGGGGCTGGGTGTTTGAACAGCTGGGTCGGTCAAGGGTAACCACCCCCATCCCTGCTTCCCGGCTCTGGAGCCCCGTCCCACCTGGGTTCTGGCTGTGGGTCTGAAGACAGGGCTCTGGGGCTGGGGGGCATTTTCCACCCTGCAGATCGCGGGAAGTAAAGTGCTAAATTTTCTCCTGCGTGGGTCTGCAGGTCAGGGGCGCAGGAGCAGAGTTCCCAGAGACGACTGGAGACCTGGCCCGAAGCTAACATCCGGGGCATAAATCTATCAGAAGCCACAGTAACGCAGACCACAGGTGCCTTCAACAAGGGAGACAGGAGCTGTCAGCTGCAGGAAGTTTGAGTCTCAACCCCCCATCTGCCTGATGCCTCATGGAGACAGGAGTGGGGTGGGTCTGTGCTGTTCTGCTGAGACCGCTGTGCGTTCACACAGACCCACACCTGGGGGAGTCCCGAGGGGGCCAGTGTCCCTGTGGGTGAGGGGGGACATTCCGGGGAATCCCGTGTTGGTGCCAAGCCAGGCTCTCAGCACACCGGGTACAGGAGCTCTGCTGGCCCCTTCACCAAATGGCCCCCGCAGTGGTAATCAGGAGTGCCTAGCACACACCTGTCACCCGCCCACTCTTTCCCCTGTCCCCAGAGGTCCCCACGTATCACCTCTGTCCAGCTTCCCTGCCAGCAGTTCCACAGCCAGATGGGAGGTGTGTTCCCACCCTGGCCTGGCCCTTGGGAAACTGTCTCACCTTGCCAAACCTTACTTTTTCTAACTGACATGGGGGTAATAAGCCAGGCATGATGGTGCACACCTGTAATCCCAGTACTGAGGGAGGCTGAAGCAGGAGGATCACAAGCCTGAGCAACTCGGCCGCTTAGCAAGAACTTGTCTCAGAATAAAAAGGGCTGGGGACATAGCTCAGCGCAGCATTAGACTGCATGTGTGGCATGAGGGGACCAAGGTGACTCAGATAGCAGCCCCCACCTCGCTTAAGGAGCTCAGAGAGGGAGGACAGGTACAACCTCCTCTCTGGACACAGCCTCCGGCACAGCACAGAAGGAGATGTTATGCAAAGGGGCAAAGGGAAAACCTGTGAGGGCAAGAAGATGAGCTCTTGCCGAGCTGGCGGAGTGGGGCAAACTCAGGAGCAGGAGGCGTCTTGGAGATGCAGCTGGAAAGTGGCCTGCATCTCCTCTGGGGGAAGAAAGGCCGGGGTACTTCAGGGCCTCCACAGGGTGGCAGCAGAGAGGCCGGGCTCTGACGTGCAAGCTCTTGGGTGGCGCACAGGACCAGCTGGAGGAGAGGGGTCTGGTGAAGCCGGCAGGAGTCGCATCGTGGATCCCCAGAGCAGAGCCGACGCTGGAACTTCTTTCCCCTGCCAGGGCCTCCAGCCACTTCCTCAGGCCCAAAATGGACACAAGCGGCTCTCCCTCACTGGACGCCGGGGAGGGACACAGACCCGCAGAGCCGAGTCACCGCTAACCTGACTCTCACTGCCGTGCGAGCTTCTCGGGGCTGCGGGCCCAGTCCCCAAACACTCAGACATAAACAGTGCTCGGCCTGCTGGTTCCCCGGGAAGACACGGGCGTCTGCCTGGTTCGTGCAGAGCTCAGCGGATGGACAGAGCCGCTGCGAAGTGGGTGGGTTAGGGAAAGAGAAAGGGTAAGGAGGGGACAGAGAAATGAATGGATGAAGGATGGAAGGGTGGACACTGGGAGCAGCAATGGTGGGAGAGGCTCAGGGAGACATCATGAGGTGGTTGCAGGGAGAGGAGGGGCGGGTGGAGGCACTGAGGGGCACAGAGGGACCGAGGAATGACGAGGTGCTGTCTGGTCTGTTCTGTCCTGCTGCGGCGGATGCCAAGGACGAGATGACTTCTACCATCAGATTCCTTTGGTTCACGGTTCTGGAGGCTGGAGGTCCCAGATGAAGGAAGACTCAGCTCGAGGGAGGCCTCCTTGCCGCGTCCTACCATGGAGGAAGTCGTCACAAGGCAAACGAGAGCTGAACTCTGCTTCATAACAAGCCAAACATCTGTCCGTTCGTGGCAGAAGAGCCTTCATCACGACCTGCCCGGTCACCTCGTGAAGGGCCCGCTCTCAACACCGTGGCATTTTGCAGACTGAGTTTCTGACACATGAACTTTGGGACACACCTTCCAGCCACGGTAGATGGAGTCTGAGGGAGGACTGCAGGAGAAAAGGCGGCTGAGTGCGGAGAAGGGTGGAAGGGGTAATGAGGAGGGGCAGGTGGATGGATGGAGAGACGGAGGATCACCTATCTCCCTGTCCCTGCAGTTCCTGGCAGAGGTTGGGTGTCTGCGGATCTGCCTGATTTCAGGGTGTGCGTATGTGTCGGACTGAGAGCGGTGCATACAGAGCCCTGCAAACGCGACAACTTCCCATTCATCTCCCCCTTGCCTGGGAGGCCAAGGTCCCCGGAAAGACAAAGAGACACAGGCAAGGCAGGGAAGGCCCTGCCCAGGAACGGGGAGAGCCCAGCTGCTCGGCGTAAATGTCCCACCCGCCACATATGGGGAACATGTGGCCCCGCCCTGCTGGCGCCGGAGAGACGTCATGCCGGGGAGGCTGGCAGCCGAGGACACAGAGCGTTCCCGGGAGGAACTGGCAGGAGGGAAGGAGGCAGCGCTCGAAGCACCAGCCTGGAGCCTGGCTCATGGTGGGCTGGGGTGCGGGGGAAGTTGGGGAGAGGTGGGCTCTGGGTCCCCTGTCCCCAGGGCTCTCGGCAAAGGCAGAACACGGCAGGAAGCCTTCGGGCACAGCCACACTCCACACTGCTGCCTAGAAGCAGAGTCCTGGGGCCACCAGCAGGGACCAGGCCCCAGGTAGCCTTGGGGAAAGAGTTGGGGTCCACAGGGCCCACCTCCAACCCCACGCAGCCACCAACACCCCACTTCTTCCCGGGGCTCCCTCAGTTTCCTCACTGTCCCAAACACACGCTGCCCACTGGGGCTAACCGAAGATGTGGGTTTTATCACCAGGGAGGAAAATGAATGCGATGTATTTTAGGTTCTCCAAAAAACCAAGTGTTTCCGTGAGTCCCCATCACAGTGCCCGTCAGATGGAAACCGTGCCTGTCTTCCTCTCGCTGCTGTTGAAGGGAGCCAGGTCTGTGTGTGGCACCAGGGCCGCGGGTGGCTGCTTCTCAGACACCTCCTCCCCCTCCACCTGTTTCTGCATTTCTGGCGGGGAGGAATGGCTGCGGATGGAAGCCCGGGCCTTGTGCACGCTCGACAAGAGCTGAGCTGCACCCGCAGCCTCTATTTTTGTAATTTTTAACTGGTGGGCAAAACCCAAAGTTGTGCATCAGTAGACACAACTGTCCCTAAAGGACCTTTCAAAGCTAGCGGGACGGCTGTGTCCTAGAAGCACCCCGGGCTCGGTCCCTCCTCCACAGAGGATGGCAGGTGGGATGCCCACTGCTTCCTTTTTCGGCCCCACTGTGCCGGAAGACCGAGCCCCACCCACAAGAGTCACCGCAGGACCCAATGGGACAAATGTGGACTGATGGCGGCTCCTGGGAGCTGCTGCACGTGGGGACACACTCAGCTTAAGTTCAGCCCAACTGGGCCGGGTGGGTCAGGCAGCAGAACACAGAGCCAGAGGCCTGCGAGCCCTGCACATGGGCAGGCCGATTCCTGAAGGCCCTACAGACAGGGCCGTGAGGTCAGGGCCGGAGTCATTCCCAGACCAGCCCGAGCATCACGCCCCCTTTCACAGCCTCAGCAGCTTGCAAAGAAGTCCCGGCAGCCTGCGGAGGCGGGGCCGCCAGCTCAGCAGTTTCTCTTGCCCCACGCCCCGCTTGGTGCCGTGCTCCCCCGGGAGCCGCTGCAGGCAGCTGGGCGGCAGGGCCACTGCAGACAGGCGGCCCAGCCCGGCGCTCTGGTTTCCTGGATCCAAGAGTCCGCGCTCATTTATTATTTAGTAAATACGTCCCGATCTCTGGCTGAGGGCTGCAGAGTGCTCCAGAGGACCAGGGGGCGTGAGCATCTCTCGGTGTGTACCCATGTTTATGTGTGTCTGCACATGTGTGTGCCTCTGTGTGCACAGGCGTGCATACACGTGTGTGCACCTCAGTGTATGCATTCCGTGCATGTGTGTGCGGCTTCTGTGTATATGCGTGTGTCAATGTTTGTGTGTGTGCCTGCAGTGTGCATTCGTGCCCGTACATGCGCGTGTGATCAGACATGTGTGCACATGCATATCTCCGTGTGCAGGCGTGTGTTTGTGTTTCTGTGTGTCCCCTCTGCACACCTGCCTCTGTACCCAAGGCCCTGCCCCTCTGAGGAGCAGATGTGGAGGGGACCCTGAGTCACCATCAGACAGACAGACAGACAGACAGGCTCGAGGACCAAGCTGGGTGCCTCCACCTTCCTCAGCCAACTCAGGCAGTTCCAGGAGAGGGAATGTGGAAGGGCTTAAATTTAAAAAAAAAATTTTTTTT